CCAGATAAAAGCCCGTAAGACTCCCTTGCAGCTGATATGATCTCAATATCGCTAAATTCCAGCAACATTTTCAAGAGGAAGGTCAAGGGTTTAGTGGGCTGGAGTTTGCGATTAGGTTGAGATGAAAAGGATTGGCTGCTCACCTATGATGATCCCACATATGAGGCTGATGATGAGGAAGAGCAGGACGAGTATGAACCAACGGGACTTGGCGGGCTTATTGAGGAGATACTTGGCTGGAGTAGTAGGGCTTGAGAGGGTGTGAAACCTTGCTGATTGAGAATGAGGAAGAGGGGGTGGAGTTGACAGAGAGAGAGAGAGAGGCGATGTGAGTAAGGAAGAGGGGAGAGAAGGATTAGAGAGAGGGTCAGTGTAAGAGCAGAATGTCTGGAGAGGGGAGAGCAGTCTTAATTAGGCACCAAATGATTCGGCTCGGGAGGCATGGTGGGGATGGCCGGACGAGTCGTGCAGCAATGGTTCGTGGATCGAGTTCTGGATCGGAGAGGGATGGTTGTAGTCATCCATCGAGATCCCATTGGGGCTCTCCTTGCCCTCCGAGGATCCTGGTCGAGTCATTCTGCTCCTCTGGCGGGATGGGAGTGGTGGTGGTGGTGGTGGTGGTTGAAGGGAAGGAGGCGGGCAGGGGGGAAGGGCGAGAACTCAAGCTGGGCATTGTCGAGTGGTCAACAGCTTAACTCCGTGGGAGAACAGCTTGGACGCAATCCAACTGCCCAGAGTACAAAGAGGAGCTCGATCCCAAAATATCAACTAAAATAACTATTGGCAAGATGGTGGATTTCCTGGACAACAAAACAGTCTGCGGCTTAATGGTGCTGGAAGGGTATGGGACATACAACTGACGAATCTTAAATGATGAGTGATGATATACATGAAGAAAACTAAAATATCAATAATAGAGGAAACAGAGCAATTGAACAAGACTCTAGAAGAAATAATAGGGTCCGGGAGGGAAGGCCTAATAATATCCAACTGTAAAAGAAAAACAAATGGATCAGACTGGCAAAGACTGGAGAACTAAGAACAAGTGAGGGAGTACGGACCAGTATGGATGAGTTGATGAGGATGTTTCTCCATCTGTTTCTCGAGAATCTCTTCGAGATCACTGTCGAGATCCTTGCAAGCCTCGATAGCATTGCAGAGATCCAAGAGGGCCTTCCCCGCCAGACTAGCTTCCTCATGGTTATCCTTGATCTCGATGTTGATCAGATGGACCGGCTTGTTCAGCTCGCCCCCTCGACTAAACAGATCATCGCACACCGCATCAAAGCAGCGCTCCTCACAGGTGATCACCACATCCGCCACCCCCACCACACTGTCCTGCCATCGCTCCGGCGCTAGCTTCAGCTTCCGGTTCCGATCTAGCATCGAGAGAATCCCGTTGGCCGTATACCTGTTTTTTCGGTCGGGGTGTCCCAGATAGAGAAAGAGAGGTAGCATCAACCTAACCTTTTCTTCAAGATTAAAAAAAAAGAAATGTATACAGGATAAAAACTGACAGCCTTTCATCCTTCTCTTTCAAGTCTTGATACATGTCATCGTAAGGAGTCCCGAAGGAATAAACGTTGGGTTTATCGATAGCCGGGCCTGGTAAACGGACCATCGACCCCGTCCCAGCCGAGGTGACTCTAAACGCTTCCCTAGCCAACACATTATGACCCTCCATCGACCGATTCTAAAGAAGACACACTCACTATCAATTGAATGTCTAGAATATCACCCTTGATAAACGACTTTGGCACCAAAAAAAAAAAAAAAAAAAACGAACCTGATTACTTGCACAAACCACGCAGAAGGTGAAGTTACGACAGGTCAATTTGATATCACGTTCGTTCTCGAGCTTGCCGTTCTGAGCAGCAGAGGAGGGAGCAGCAGCGGCGGAGGACGAGCCATCGGCGGCGACGGACGGGGGCAGGGCGGGGTGGTCGACGACGACGGCCGACGGCTTGGCGGGGATCCCTGGTGCTGGAGGAGGCGGGGTGGCATTCGAGGCTGCTAGACGCGCCCGGAGGCGTGGGTCGTTCGTTGACATCTTTCGCTCCTCGTCGGCGGTCTTCCGGGTTGGCTTCAGCTCGGCCTGCCTTTTTTTATACCTGGGCTTCTGAACTCAGTTCTCCCCTGTGACATCCCCTCAGATACACACAACCATCCATGTATGCAACATGTCACACCACCCCAACCTTAAAACAATGTCGATCGCGCTTCGTGCGCTGGTTGCCGAACTTTCGGGACAAAAAAATCGAGCTTAACCCAAGCCTCTCTGGGGAAGGCCCCGCGGGGTCTCTGTCTCACAGAGAGGCTTGCCCTCAACCAACTGACGGTGGCATGGATCCTGACGGGCTTTGGGCCCGTCCAACCCCGCTTTTTAAATAAGATCCGTCGGTACACTTTGCAAGTCTGCCAAGTAGGGTCATGAGCTGCACGGTCTGATAGCCCTGCTTCTTGCGCAGGTATCCATCAGCTCATGATCAACCAGTTGCCCCATGAGACTTCAGGACATCTGTGCAAAAACACTGATGAGCTCTTTCAAACCTGAGAAGGTTTTTTTGTTTTTATGCGATCGGACTCATGTACAAGATCTATCACCATAATAGTTTCTGTATGTTTCCTATACAGACAAATTATAAGACCTAAGTCCTGTACCACATGATTGTTAGAGATTTGATATTATTCCATCATAACTGTTCTATGGCATGCTTATTTGGAAGCAACGATACTCAAGGAAAGATTTGTATCGTCACTGAGAACGGGCTCCCCCAGATCGTCGTCACTTCTACCACACTCCGACTCCTCCGCAATGCTCCGCCGTCTCGCTGCACCGGCGATCACTGATCCTAACGGCTCCGGTATTCGTGTTCAACTGTTGAAGAAGATTGCCAATAAGAAAGATGCCGGCTTGAAGGCAGCAATTAGGCAAAATGCATTGAATGACTATGGCCAACCCGCCAAGCCCCAACAGATTGAGACTGTTTTTCATCTGGCACGCGGTCAAAACACCTTCTTACTTGCCGGAACTGGTTTCGGGAAATCAAGAATCCCTGAGATGTACTACAGTCTACTACCAAAAAGCGCAAATGGGGTGATATTAGTTCTAAATCCTCTAGATGCGTTAGGTGACAACCAGGTTCTGGAGAAAAAGAAAGCCAACTTCACCGCGATCAATCTGACAAAGCTGACCTTCAACATCGATGAGGCAAACAACATCGTAAACGGCGTGTATAACTTTGTCTATCTCAGCCCTGAGATCTTCTTGAACAGCAAACTCTTCGATCAAGTCTACTTCTGCCCCAATTTCCAGAATCGCCTTGCTTTGGTCGTGGTTGACGAGGCACATGTGATCCACCAGTGGGGGCTCGTGGAATCTAGTAGAGGAAAAGATAAGGTTGCGGCCCGAGGCCGAATTGAGGATCTTGCTATTTTCAGGCCATACTATGGGAAGATCGGAGGTCGTCTGCTTACTCGGAATAACAAGCCGATCCTACTGATGTCTGCAACCTGCAGGCCGGTGGCAATGGAAGGCATCAAGAAAAGTCTAAAACTGGAGGATCACAACCTAGAGATTGTCCAAGCGGAACTCACCCGACCCGAATTGCGCATCATCCGTGTTCCGATTACTTCTTCGATGGCTAAGGGCTTAGAGCTGTCGCGATACTTCCCATCGGTTGCCGATGTGCCCGATGCTTTTGTGGTACCCACCCTGATTTATAGCTCAACTCGAAATCGGACATTACATGTGATGACCGCTTTGGATGTTGCTCGGAAGACACCTGGGAGCTCGTTGAGACCCAATTCGACTTTTGTCCGCCGTTTTCATTCGTGCACTGGGGAGAAGGACAAGATTAAACTGATTGAAGATTTCGGAAATGGAGAGTTGCCTGTCATCTCTTGTACAATGGCGTTGGGGATGGGCCAAAACTGGTCCAGAGTGCGATGTGTGATTCAAATGGGGCGGGCTGAGCCTTCGGCGATCTGCCAGATGATTGGGAGAGCCGGACGAGATGGAAGAGCGGGCCTGGCTATCATCTTTGTGGAGAAGACCCGGAAAAATGGGAAGAACAAGGTCGCCGCTTTTACTAAACCTGACAGTCAGGGGGATACCGATCGAATGGACGCTTTGGCAGTGACACCGGTTTGTCTGAGGATTGCGTTTGCGGTGGACAATGCGTGTGTAGTATTTTCCTACAGTCTTAGTGATGGTTGCTCAAGAACTGATCTGAATGTTTTGTTTACGGCTGGCTCATGTCACTTAGACTTGGATACATTCCATTGTCAGTTGATGACCCATCTTACAAGATCGAGAAGGCACGGGAAGAAGCCGAGCAATTTGTGAAATGCAAATGCTCTAATTGCATGCCACAGGCGGCGGAGGGATTAATGAAGAACTTCAGCCAAATGACAACCAATAACATGGATACTTTCATGGACAAGGATTGGTCTGATAATGTACAAGAGAAAAGAAGCAACAAGAGAAAAGGCCATCCCAACCCCTCAGAGGACATCGATCGTTTGAAGCGAGTGAAGCTGACCGATGACCTTGCGACCATCTTGAAGGCACGCCTTCGAACCAATTTCGATGAATTCTTTGATAGTACAGTGAAGAATAAGTCGTTGTTTGGGCCTGAAGATCTGTTTGGGGACCTAGAGATAGCCTCTATTGTTGAAGGATTTGATTCAATTGAATCAGAGGCGGCCTTGAGGAAAATGATTGGGGGACAGATGATTGCGGGCCAGATTTCACTCCTCCATCGGACGATTCAGATATTTAGAGAGGGGCCGTTAGCCAAAGAAAGAAGTGATGAGGTCGAGCGGGTGGAACTAGAAGCCGCGAGGACTTTGGAAAAAGAGTTAGAGGCGGCTGAGGTCCAAGCAAGAGAAGAGGCAGCGGCAATACGGGAAAAGGAGATTGAAGACGAAAGGAGACGTATGGAAATCGAGAGGTGCAAGGCGAAGAGGCAGGCAGAGGATTTATGGAAAGAGGAGCAGGCAAAGCATTTGGCTATGCTTGTCCGGCTGGCTGGTGAGGATGCGGAGAGGAGAGGTGTAGCGAGCATTCATCGTGGGCGGTAGACATGTGAAATCGATTTCTTTTTTCATTTTCATTGTAGATTGCAGAGGATTTGCTTGGTAGTAATCATTCTTCCATCATTACATCGCTGTTATCCTCAGAGGTTGCATCTGGACTGGGTGCTTGTTCATCAAAGGGAAGGTGCATCTTGAACCGAGCAAGCTCGTTTGGTTTGGCTTTGAGTTCTGCCTTCATCATGTTGATGCCATCTAAATATGTGTCTGTCCGGAGGATCGTACTGGGTGCCAACTCATCTGGATTGGCGGTGCCAAGGATGTCTCTTGAAGCTGCCATCTGCTGGAACCTCTCAAGAGCTCGCATTGTCAGGACCACTTGATGACTTTGTTGGATGTGTTTAGATCCACTATCAGTGCGTAAGGAGTCAAACATGGATCGGAGCTGTGATAAAAATGGGCAACATTGTTCAGTTGATCACCCCATGCAGGCCAGGTTTGATTAGATTACACACCAATGGAATATTAGAAGAGATCAACTTCTTCAATCGTTCAACTTGTGTGCCTACACCAGCCCGAGTGTAAAAGAACTTCAGCCAGTAGTTAGCTGTTTCCAAAAGGAAATCCTTGGAAACAAAGTGATTTACACGACCCCTGGGCGACACCAGGAGCGTATGCCGAACCAATTTGGCCAGGTCGGGTGGCAGAAACTCAGTTATCAGGAGGACCAGCCGAGGGAGATAAGCAGAGTAATGAGTCAGACCCGGGAGCGATTGGGTCATCAAAGACCACATCTTCCACACATTGATGAGTCGGCCAATATCACCGGCCTTCATTGATCGATTAGCCTCAATGACTGTGGAGAAATCACGCATGCGAAGGAGGAGATTATAGCGTTGTGGTGAAGATTTAGCATCATGCCGAGCATTGTTTGTGCAATATCGAAGGTAGCATTGTTCAATTACTTTGTTCCATTCCTGGGTTGGCATGACAGGTAGGATCTCCTCGACTGTGTCCTCATGCTTGCCCATCACCTCCCTATAGAACAATACATTCATAGAAATAATCAACTACTTTATATACCAGAGAGCAATTGCACCTGACTTACCTGAGACAAAACCAAATAGTGGCCTCATGGACTTTTTCCATACACTCGAGCATCTTTGTAAAATCCTTCTTTTGAATCACCTTATCGGGGGGTATTCCCAGGGCTTCCAAGTATCGCCACACCCCTAAGTCATCCATCGCATTTGATTTGCCAAAATGATATGTGAGGATGGTGTGTGCAATGTTCCATAAGGTATGGGAGGCCCCTAGTGCCATCGAGGTGTTGTTCAAATTGTGATCGCAGTGGGAGCTTGGTAGCCTGAGCATTCGAATGGCGTGGAACAGTTGGCAAGTACCGAGATCACCGTCCATGAGCTGCAGCCTACCAAAAAACTCTTCCGGTTCGAGGCGAGATTGGCGGGAGAGGGCATCCATAACTTGGCCAATCCCTTCAGCCGAGTTATCAGACTCTTCCATTAATTGTAGCATGAGGATCTCTGGGGCCTCATTGCTTATCTGCTCAATCACAGGAGGGTCCAATGGCAGCATGCCGCGTCGGTCAGCCGGAGTTGCCACGTACTTCAGCATCACTCGGGCAATTTGGCTCTTCCAAACAAGAGCATAGTCGTGATTTGGAAGGTCAGCCTGGATGAAAGCTTGAGGATCAATTTGAAAAGATACTACATTTCTGAGTGCGTCATTGTAGGCTTCTAGGGTGAGCTCGGCGGGGGAGATTGTGTTCATGAGGTTGTTGGATGGTATGTGGAGATACCCCCAGGTTCCATGGAAAGTCCGATCTTGTTTCCCTACAGTCGCCATTTGGACCCTCTCTTCCAAGTCCAGATTGTCAATACATAGGAGTGGTGCCAGCCTATTGGATAGCGCCATCGAATTTGCTACCCGGTCCATGGCCTCCCTCGAAAGAGTAAGTAGTGCTTCTATGGCTGTTTTGCGATGCGAAGTCAGTCCCAAATAGTGAAGGTATTCATTGACGGTCTCTGATACTCCACATGCGTAGAATCGGATTGAATTTTCCAGTTGTAATCCATTGTCGCGTCGATTACGGGTGAATTTCAGCATTGAGCAAATGACTGAAGCAATCTAAAAACCCTCCCATGACAATGAGTGTCAATGCTCTCACAAGCAATACAGATTCAAACTTACATGGCGATGCTTCACATCTTTTGCAGTTGGACCTACATCAGGAGTATAAACGAAACCCCCGTACTCCACTAAACCGTCCTCCAAGGGATCTTTGGTTTGAGATAAATCAATGAGGCCTTCAACTGGTGTCTTCTCAGCTTCTGCCTTATTGTTATTGTTCTCTTGGGATATAATCCCAAGGACAATGTTGAAGAGCAGTGGTGTTTCGACTGTTGATAATTTATCCATCCGTGCATCCTTTGCTGCTTGTGAGAAAAACTTGTGAGACACCGATTGGGAGCTTTGGAACGAGCCAGTCCGTCTGATTGAGAACTCCTGACGACATAATCTGATAACCTGTGTCACAATCTCATCGAAGTTAGAATAGCATGTCTGTTGCACTTGAACAATGACCGGAGGAATCAACATGCACCTCTTCCTGGATGAAATTGGTCCATTGAGCAATATCCGCATCTTTTTTCTGGAAGATTTTCGAAATTTCAGAAGCCAAGTCGATTGTTGATTTAGAACCATACGTAGTTCCCCAGGTGCGCCGGCGGTAGTTCAATTCTGGATGATTTTTTCTGAGTAGCCCAGTGATAAATTCTTTTGGGGTCATCTTCAATTTAGTCAGGTGTTCACACACTTCGAGTATTTTTTGTTCATCTGAGAGACTGGATTTGGGCTCGGCAGCGGCTGGCAAAGACATGTTGAGTCAAGAAGGAATTGGTTCGGTGGTTCTGTTGATCCTCCTGACATTGGAGAATCAATTGTGAAGTTATGATACGAGTAATAAGATAGGCATGATGGGTGATATGCCTCCGAAGGATTGGAATGTTAATGTCCCTATAGTGTGATAATTATGCATATCGAGTATTCTGGAGCAGTATGTACAGCTCTTTATATACTTACCATCGAATCGCATTGGCACACACAATCCTAGGATTGTGAAATCATGATGTTACAAGGCTTATAAGTTCAAGGAGATATGGGGCCACCAAGAGTCTCATATGTAGCATAGAAGGCCAGAAGCAGGGCTTCAATTTGGGGCCAAGGGCGCTTCAATTGGTCCACAGAATCAGGTTTAAGGTCGGGTTGAAGTTTGACTACCGCCAAAACCGAGATAGTGGTGGTCAGGATCCACACCAAAAACCATTCATTACTCCCAAGTCCCTCCTTCGGAGGCTCGCGCTTCGCGCGAGGGGCCCTGCCCTGCCTCCCCAAGGTGGGACTGATTAAGTTCGCAAAAAAATCGGCCGACCCTCGCCGACCCGACAGATATGTACATGTTCGGCTCATCCACGATCAGACATAGGCCGGGCCTGAGGAGCATGAAAGCATGAAAGCCCAGAAAAAACAGCCCGAGAGAATTGCCGGCTTGATTGGTGCCAGCTTCTGATTGGACGAGGTTTTTTTTTTTGGGTGGCTCTGGCCCAGCTCATGACCCGGCCCGCATTTGCATCCTACAGGCTACCGCCGCCCCGGTCAACAATATTCCAGATCTTCTTCAACCCGGGAGGGCATTCTTGGAGATCGTGCTCTCATTACATGAAACCCTCTCTGTCCGGGCTCACCGCGAAAGGGTTCCCGAAGGAGACAGTCCCGGGCAGCGTCTGCGCCAGTGCTGGCACAAGCCTGCAGAGCGAGCCGATCCCGCCGGTCCTATAAAACCTAGGCTTTAACTGCCAAAAGGTTTTGGAACCACTTTAAAGGGTTATTGTTATGGTATGTTCTGGAATCCTCCACAGATTATGATTGATCCATTGGGGGAGACTTGCTCGCTGCCATCGACACACCGGCCAGCTTTTGGGTGTCCCCCAACGTCGATTCTCTGGCATTGAGAGGAACGTGGGCGTCCATCGACATATACCGACGATCCACACAGAGAGCGATTTGCGTGTCCCCCAACGTCGATCCTCTGTCGTCAAGGAACGTGAAAGCATCTTTTGGAACGGTCTATTCCATCGGTTTCTACATCCTGCAGGTATCCTAATCTAGCTTGGCCTTTGCTCACTCAATCTTCGCCAGTCGACCCAGCCTTAAAATTATAATAAGCTTGCCGATCATCCTCACAGAGCCTCCGCGAGTGCATTGGTCATGTTGGATGATGGATTGCATGGAATACGCCCCTAAGAAAAGCGTTGGTTTTTTTTTTGTATCGGTTTCATGAGCCAGAGAGGTAATGAGGGATCAACCCAGTTGACATGTGAGGAGTGACCCCCTAGCACCAAGTTCTGATACTTGCACACCCTCGAGGATGGACGATTCATTCGTTCGTTCATTTATTTTCCTTTTCCTTAGGACCAGAAAAAAAAGGTGATTTTACGGCAAGGTCGGGTGTCTAAAGTCCGAGTAGATTTCTTTCTTTTTCGTTCGATGTGGACTGTTCTATGTAAGATGAAGCATAAGCCGGCGCTTGGAGCAAGGTCTATGTTGCAAGAGTCACGATCAGCCGTTTCTTTCTTATATCATGTATGTGGTAAAGATGGCTGAGCTCATTGTCGATGGGTTTTTTTTTTTTTTTGGGGGGGGGGGGAAGTATTAGTAGATACGTATTGGACATCATAACTGTTATTCAGGTGTGATATTTGAGAGAGTTTGGTATGGCTGCTATGGGCCGAAAAATATTGTCTGTGGCAGTGCGAAGAAAGAATTGTGAACAGCGTTTTAATGATCAGGATGTTTTGTTCAAAGTCAGACGAGATGCACGACAAAAAAAAAAAAAAAAATCGAGATGCTTTTTTGTGACTCGAATGAATAAACTTGTTTTTGTAGCTTGCTTGTGTTTGTGATACATATTTTTCTTTGGTAATTATAATCCATGGCAATACCCAAATTAGCCCTTGGCGACTTTGAATACCTGTTGGAAATATTATGGCTCGAAATACGTTCTGGGCCATGAAGGTTCGCAATGCCCGCGATGGCTCTCCATCCCATCACTACTAGACGCCAATCGCCATCCCTCAAACTTGAAGGATGAGGAGCACATCCCCCCTCCCCTCTGAGCCAATGGCTATAATCCTCTTCGTGTGATTTGGATAATAATGGGCTACGAGTTGATCTACCCGTGTATGGTTTTCTCAGCTTTCGAAAGCCATACTCCTATTTCCCCTTCCTCGCCGATCAAAGCCCACGAACCCGGGCGGAAGGAGTTTAGACCCAAGGAAGGGTCTTTAGAGTCTTACGTTTCTCTCCTTCAATATTATAGCTTATAGGATTCGTTGTTTTCTCTTCGACCAACTCACCTCGCATCTCTCCTTGAGGGTTGAGTTTAACTGGTGCCTCGGATGGTTATTGATGTATTATATTGATTTGCTCGTCTCAGGGAGGGTTTGTTGTATGGGCCCATTAGCCCATTAATAGAATTTGTCACTAGTCCTGGATGATACCATCCTCTTTCTCTCTCTTTCTCTCTCTCTCCCTCTGTTTTTCATGAGTCTTGTTGGTAGGTGTTCCCCCAAACATCTTCTCTTCGTTGGGCCTTAAGTTTCCGCAGCAGGGCTGGCTCTGATCGTAGCGGACATCATGGGCGTGACAGGCCTATTGGAACAGCCCACTTCCTGGTTCCTTCTTCCTTCTTCTTTCA